GCACGAGTGGAGTGGCGACGACGCTTACGGATCTGGATGCGGCTGTGTTTGAGGACGATGATGACGATGATGATGATGATGGGGACATTGAGGATGACGACGAGGACGACGATGACCTGGACCCCGCTGAGCTGGCGCGGCTGGAGGCCAAGCTGCAGCAGGGGGCCAAGGTGGCGTGAGCGCAGTGTGGGGGGAGAGAGGTTCGTGCCTTTTTGCGGCGGCGGGGCGAGCGGCGCCCATCAGAGGCGGCAGCGCGGCGCCCGCGCTGTTGGCAGCCGCTCTCTGCGCCTCGCCATTTTTGCATTTCGCAGCTGATGGGGAGTGTGCTGCGTGCGCGGCGCAGCACACACGTGTTGACTTAGGCAGCGGAGCAGCAGGGTAGGCGCCCCGGCCGCCCACCAGCACAGGCCATCAGGGGCCCGCGCCCCTGCAGCCAGGCGTGCGGTTTAGGGCTCGGCCGGGGGGGCCCTGCAGTGTTAGCATTTGAATCTCAACCCCCATCCACTTTCCCACTTGTAAAGCACGCGGCTGGATCCTGAAGCTGGTGTCTCTTGGCGGCTGAGCTATTGTTGCAGCCATCGACCTTGAACAGGCAGTGGCACCCTCCACCTGCATATGATGCGCAACAGCCTGCCTGGCTACATGCCACTGCCACCAAAACCAAGCTGTGGGTTCCCGTATCGCGAATATGGGCTGGTGGGGGCGCAGCACCCCTTGAGCCTGCCCCCTTGCAGAGGGCGTCCTGCTGTATCACAAATGGCGGTCAGCACCGGGCAGATTATGCCGGGTTACACCTCGAATTGGCGCGGCAATCACACGCGCCGCCCTCTGTAGGTTTTTGATGGCAGCAACATCAGTCGTGCGTGTGCTTGCTGCGAGCCAGCCTTTCAGCCATCGCTGACATCGCTCGACGGCTCGCACAGCTGTAGATGCCGCGTCCCCACCCAACCTCAGGACACGAACCGAGGACCTTGCAAAAGAGTGGTGTGCGTGCGGCCGTTGCCCGAGTCACAATGGGTCGCCGTGGCTATGGCGCAGCAGCTCACCATGGCCCACAACACGCGCGACCCCGTCCTCAACGCCCACGCGCCTGCCCACCCGTGCATGTGCATGTCCACGATACGCATGCGCCTTTCCGCACTTGTCAATTATGGCTGCAGCACCATCACAGTGCAGCACGAGCTATCCTGGTCACCCGTATGTACGTTGCGGCAGCAATACTCCCGCATCATTCCCGCGCTTTCTGACGCGAGTGCCAGCCCTCAACAGCACCTGCACCCCTGCGCAAGAGGCCCAGCACTCATGCAGCCAGTTGACACCCGTTATCAGCGGCCGTTCAACGCGCGTGGCACGCTGCAGCAGGGCAGCCCCCTCCCCTAGCGCCGCGTCCCCGTGTGGACGAAAAGCTGTGTGGTGGGAATTACCCTAAATGCAGGTAGGACAGAGTGACAAAAGATCTGATGGAAGCAGTGGCCCGGCGCACCGCCAAGAGGGTGCTGCGCGCCACTCCTCCCTGCTGCGACAGCGGGGGGCCTTATACATGGTGCGCGCAGCAGACAAAGACACTACTGAGCCGTCACGACTGCAGCGCGGTGCCCAGCAGGCCGCTGCCGTCTGGGCCGCCGCTGCGCGGCGCCGACTGCCGGATGGCCGCCAGCTCAGCGGGCGCGGCCCCGAGCTCCCCTGCCAGCTGCAGCCACACCTCCAGCAGCCGCTCGCTGGCAGCAACCTGCAGGGGCGGGGGCGTCCACGTGTGTGTGTGTGTGTGTGTGTGTGTGTGTTGGGGGGGGGCACGCGCACGCGTTCATGCGTGCGTATGCGTGCGCGTCTGCGCGTGTGCCCAGGCATGCAGGTGGAAGTCAATTTGTGATGGAGGGGGGGGGGGGGGGGGGCTGCACGCAGCCAAGCACCGCACATGTCAGCACTCATCAACGCACGCGCACTGTCCGTGCCGGGGGACACATGTAGCACAACCCCCCCCTCCCGCCCCACCTGCGTGGCTGCAAAGTTCTCCACCATGGCGGTGTACTCCGCGCGCCTCTCACGCCCAAACCGCTCCAGCTCCGACCTGTTGATCTCCGCTATCTTCTCATACTCCGCCCTTGCAGATCCTATGCTCAGCTCCAGCTGCGCGATCTCCGTCCGCAGGTCTTCCGCGCGCTTGGCCTTGGCCTTGTCGCCGCCAAACACCTTGGCGCCCGCCAGCTGGCGCGGCGTTGAGGGGGGTTTTGGCGGCAGTGCTGCTTAGGCGCGGCGGGCCCCTCCAGGTCAACGTGCTAACTGGACAGGACCACAGAAAGACGCCCCCCCACACTTCTGATAACAGCAGAGGCTGTGCTGCCCGAGAGATGAGCGCTTTTCATGAAGCAGGCTGTCGATCGCAGCGCCCACGGCGCTACGTGTGAGAGCGTGCCCCCACCTGCAGGTCTGCCAGGGCCTTGTTCCTGGCCGCCAGGTCAGACTCGAGTGTCGCGTGCGTCACCAGGGCGTGCTCGCGGGACGTCAGCCCGCGCAGGACGGCCTGGGGCAGGGGGGGGGGGCAGCAGGGGGACAGCAGGGTGTTGAGAGGGGCGGGGTGTTGAGCAGGATGTGACGTGCCCTCGCCGGCCCCTGCAGGCCGCCCGCGCCAACTTGCGCATCACAGACACGGCAATGAGGCAGCGCCCTGCTTCACTGCGGCCTGGGCGCTTCCACAGCAAAAGCCCTCCCACCCCCGCATGCAGACAGGTGGTGCCACATTTGCCCACGAAGCTCACGTGCTTGCCACGTTTGCGCAACCGGCTGGCCCCCGAATGCACCCCCGCCCCCCAAATGCAAATCCCATTCCTTGCACTCACCCTTCCACACACACATATATACACACCCGCATGCACACACCACACGCACTCATCAACTCACGCTTCCCCCCACCCCCCACCCCCCCCACCGGCATGAACCCCAGGTAGTCATGCAGCGGCTCCAGCTCCTGCGCGGTGCGCCCCGTCACGCGCGCCACCATCTTGCTCAGACGCACCTGCGCGGGGGCGCGGGGCGCCCGCATGCTGAGCGCCGGTCGGGGGCCACGTGGGAGGGACGTACTGAGGGGGCGAATGCACCCATACTATATGGTGCACGACAAGGCAGAGTCTGAAATCCTCTGTGGCATAAGACACACGAGAAACAGCAGGTGGTGGCGGGGCCTGCAGAGCCTCCCCGGCCCCAAGGTCCTTGTCAGTGGGTGGGAGGCTGCCGTCATGCTGCCGCCCAGCCCGTGCGTGCGCCCACCAGTGCTGCGGCCGCCCTCTTCTCGTCGTTGACCAGCAGCCCGCTCTGGCGCAGGGTGCCGGTGTAGCCCGCCAGCGCGCCACCCTGCCGCGGCAACAGACAGAGCCACAGTCAACCCGCGGGACCGCACAGGCGCGCGATGCGCGCAGGGCGCCCCGGTCGTTGGGCTCTGCGCCACGCACTGCCCCAGAGCCACACAGCGCTACTCTAAGACCCGCACCAAAGCAACCACGCGGCACCACACAACCTGTCATGGCCCCTCCCCCTGAAACACAAGTCCTGCCCCCAGACCCCTCTCCCTCTGAAAC